GCTTCATTTCACCATCATTGTGCCTCAGGGAATAGGGAAGCCGGAGGCAAGGGAGAGAGACAGGAGTTGCCAGCTGGTGGAGCAGTCACAATACAGATAACATTTATAGATTAAGTTTGCCCTCTCATATGTGCATGGTTCATGGAGCCCCAAAACAATTACAGTAGTAACATCGAAGATCACTGATCACAGGTCATCATAACAGATGTAATAATAATGGAAAAGTTGAAATATTGTGAGAATTACCAAAATATAATACAGAGAATGGAGTCGGCATATTCTGTTGGAAAATTGGTGCCGATAGACTTGCTCAATTGCAGGGTTGCCACAAACCTTCAATTTGTAAAAAACTGCAATGTCGGCCAGCTGTGGTGGCTCACATCTGTAATCCTAGCCCTTTAGGAGGCTGATGCAGGAGGATTGCTTGAGGCCAGGATTTGAAACTAGCCTGAGCAACATAGTGAGACCCCATCTCTACAAAAAATACAAAAATTACCTGGGTATGATGGCATGTGTCTGTAGTCCCAGGGTTAATGGAAAAATCCCAAAGTCTGTAAAATAATTCTAAAGTTTTATTCTGAGCCGAGTGTGTGTGTGTGACTGATGGCTTAGAACACATGTTTTCAAGAGGTTCTGAGAAAACGTGCACGAGGTAGCCTGGTTACAGTTTGGTTTTATACATTCATGGAGACAGGAATTACATGTAAGATCGTAAGTCAATATGGGGAGGACATACCTTGGTTTGGCCTGAAAAGGTGGGACATCTCTAAGCGGGGACTTATAGTTTATAGGTGGGTTTAAAGATTCTTTGATTTGTAATTGGTTAAAGAAATGAAGCTTGTCTAAAGTGTTGGAATGGTGTTTTTTTTTTTTTCTTTTGCCCCCTCCCCTCAACTTGGAATGTTTTAAGTTAAGATAAGGATGTCTGTTTGTCAGAGACAATCCATGGGACATTTACTGAGACTCAAGTGAGCTGTTAAGTAAATTGATTGCCTGCAGGTGTGGTTTAGGCTTTGTCTTACGTGGCCTTCGGTCCTATTAATCTTATTGTTACAAAGAGTAACTAGGCATGTCTGGCCTCCTTTCCCTTCATGGCTGGGAACTCAGCTTTAAGGTTTTTCTGGGGTCCCCTTGGCCAAGAGGAGATTCATTCAGTCAGCTGGAGGGGGGGCTTAATATTTTATTTTAGTTCACACCAGCTACCTAGGAGGCTGAAGCAGGAGGATCACTTAACCCCAGGAGTTGGAGTCTGAAGTGAACTACGATGACGCAAATGCATTCTGGCGCAGACAACAGAGCAACTCTGTCTCAAACAAAACAAAACACACACACACACAAAACCCCTGTAATGTCTGCGAAGCACAATAAAGCAAAGTGCAATAAAACGAAATATCCCTGTATAATATCTTTGTTTCTTCTCTGATTCCCTTACCATGTAATCTAAGATGTATTGGCTTTATAGCATAGTGTTGAAGTGTTGTTAATTTTACGTCACAGTGTTTAAGTTATGAGATGTCAAGGAGAGTAAACATCACTCAGAGACTTTACCTTTTGGGGATGGAGTTAGTGCATTTTTGGTTGTATGCCATGTTAGGTAGAAATATGACCTTATTATTGTCTTCACTTGGAGATTAAGTATGGTTTAAGGAGATGCATATGGGAGCCAAGTTTACAAGGGGTAGACTTGTGGTGGTTAATTTTGTGTGTCAACTTGAGTAGGTCGTGGAGTGCTCAGATGTTTGGCTATATATTATCCTGGGTGTGACAATTAAGGTGTTTCTGGATGAGATTAACATTTGCATTTGTAAACAAAGTAAAGCAGATTGCCCTCCCCAATGCAGTGATTCTCATCCAATTGGTTGAAGCCTGACTAGAACAAAAAGGTAGAATAAGGGAAAATTCACTCTCACTCTCTCTGCTTAACTGTCTTGCCGCTGGACGTAGGTCTTCACCTGCCTTTGGACTCATAGTCTGATAAAAATTTATACCATTGGCTCTCTGGGGTCTCCAGCAGGCCAACTGCAGATCTTGGGCTTCTCAGCCTCCATAATTGCATGAGTCAATTCCTTATAATAAATCTCTTTCTATATATACATTGGTTCTGTTTTTCTGCAGAACCCAGACTAATATAGTATACATAGAAATCTCCTTAATTCTTTCCAGTAACCAGATTGTATTCCAGATGATAAATATGTCAGAATTTAATCATCTTTATTGATACACAGTTAGTTCCTTTTTTTTTTTTCTTTTTTTTTTTTCTTTCATGTATGTATCAATATCTGTCTGTATACATACATCTTTGTGCACCCAAATACCAAGGATTGTGATTTATGAATCTTAAAAGTGACAAATAGGTATTGTTCTGCGTGTTTTATGTGACATCATGTGCCTTAGAATGCAATTTCTCAAAAGAAAAGTCTATAATGTGTATGTTCTGTACAATGTCATGTATGTTGTGGCTCCTTAATACATATTTTAAAACAACAATAATTTTCAGAATAGCCAAGTCAATTCATTACCATAACTAGCTAAATATAAGTAGGGATATTCACTCTAAGTATACTGCATAAGCAAGGAGAGTGCTGTCTGCAAGCCAAAGGACATCTGCTAATTCTTTATAGAACGACAAATGAGTCTCCTTGCACTTCTTCTTGTAACAAACACCCACTAGAATTAAGATTTTGGAATCATTTCCATTGCAAATCCCCTCTTTCCACACCCCTTTCAAAGGCAGCTGCGATGTTTGGCTTCTAACCAAGGCCTGCTGCACCAACAATTCTCTAAATTTTATTTATATTTCATGTGCAGTATGTTCGAACTCTCACTTTCCCAGGTGCCAGATGCTGGTTTGGACACATTCCAGTGGAAAGTGCTTTCCTGTAAAATAATAAAAGTAAAATGCTGAACAAACCTCCTCTTTATATCAGACTTGCACCTAGTGTACCAAAGTTAAGTACTCTAATAATGACTTCACTATTTTCCCAAATTTGGAATCCCCCAAACTCCCTCTTCACCTACTTCCACACCAAATACTTTGTCCTTTGGCTTCTGTAGGATGTAAATGCTTATAGTCCTTTTACATTTCTTTAGTCTTCATTTGAAACTGTCAAAGTGTAGAAATCTGTCTAACACCCTTTCAATAGTGCCAAACCCATATACCCACCCACTGGCATTTCAGCTATGATTTGGATGAGAAGAGAAAACATTTTAGTCTGTTTACAGGATTTTAAAAAATAAGATTTAAAAATATATCTAATATCTTAACATATGTCATATTAGCTTTAAATGTTTTCACTAAAAAGTGATTTTCTGTGTGTTTTATAATCATACAGTGGTGTAGAATTTAAGCACGTCAGTCTCCTAAGAATTAACATGGAATTTGCCATGTGCCTTTCTCAAAGGGTTCTTACCTCTTTCTAGCCAGTGCTGGATCTAAAGATCTTACTTGTGAAAGGAATGACATTAGGTGTTGACTGAGAAGGTGGATATAATTTGTAGAGATGGCCCATCCACTTTTGGCTTCCAGCTTCATCTCTTCACCTGTTTATTGGTAATATTTCATTGAGCTGAAAACCTGTACAATTCCTTTTCCTACCCTAGAAAAATTGAGAACCTTAGGTGTGAAAGTTTATGTTTGTGCCAAAAACTTTCGGTTATGTTCTAAGGTTTAAATTAACTCCTATAAGGCGTCTTATCATTCGTGTGTGTGTGTGTGTGTGTAAAGCCACTGTGAAATAACAACATTCTGCTTGGTCCTGCTGGTATTTCTTCATACTTCGAGTTCTGGTAGACCTCATTTCATTTTCTTTTTATCTTTTCCACTCTTTCCGTTAGATGGCGGTAGATGCCCAAGAAATAACTTCCAAAGCGCTGGTGGAGGGCTCAGAGAGGGGCGTTTTTTGTTTTGGGGGTTTTTGTTTGTTTGCTTGCTTTCGTTGGGTCCTTGGTAGCTGAGCTGGTCCACACCGACGGCCCTGTGTGGTGGGTGGGCAGGGTATACATTTTTTCTCCAGAGTGTATGTATGGGTTAGGTTGTGGGGCCGTGGATGGGGAGTCTGGAAGACTTGCCACACAACCACCAGTTTAATCCAGGTTCTCCCTAAGCATCCGGGAGCATCCTGCCAGCTGGCAAAAAAAAAAAAAAAAAATCCCTAGAATTTTTCTCAACTATCTACAGACTTGATATAAGCTATGAAGCCGATTCTGGAGAGCGGCCAGCATTGACTTAGTGATGCTGGGGCATCTGTTGCATACATTTGTGGAGATGGAAGAGAGCCATTTGCTGGTGGGGACTGGCCGCTGCGACCTGTGGACTCAATCCCACATTGCGACCTGCCAACGGCCCACAGGCATTTCTGAATTCTCTCCTGTGTGCCCAGCGCCCTATAGGAAGCACTGGGAAAATAAGTCCACTTATTATAGAGAGCATAAAACATACAGAGAAATAACTGTCGAGCAAGACCTAGCTTGATAAAGTGACGCGTGTGGGGAGACGGTAAATCCTAGAAGCGTTTCAAGAGGGGTCAGTGGGGTCCGAAGTGGCCTAAGGGTTAGGCTTGGCGTAGGCAGAGCGAGGAGCAGGACGGGGAGGAACAAGAGAAAGGGGTAAAGAACTCGGGCAGGGCAGCGGGGTTCTTTGGCGAAGTCTGGAGATAATATATATTTAATAATAGAATTGGGGAGTGGAAAGGAAATGGGGGCAGGAGTGCGGCCAAGTCCAGCTCAGCGCCCACTGCCGCCTCGGAAAGGGCCGGCTCGGCGGACCCTTCTCCTTTCTTCACTGAGGCCCCAGGCATTCCCTCAGAGTGGAGCGTGGCGGGTCAGGCTCCTCGTTAGGGCGGTTGCCCCGCGCGCCGCGCTCCCCAGCGCCAGCTGCCGCCGACCCCGCGGGAGCGGACCTCGCGGGCCCCGGCCGGCCGCGGGGGGCGTGGCGAGGGCGGGCGGGAGGGGGCGTGGCGTGGCGCCCCGGTGGGCGGGGCTCTCCTCCACCAGCGCCCGCGCCGTGCCGCTGCCGCCGCCTCCGCCTCCGCCCGCCGCGCGGACCGAGGGAGCGGGGTCGCCACCGCCTGCCCGCCCGCGTGCCGGGGCTGCGGTGGGCCAGGATGTCGGGCTTCCTGGAGGAGCTGCTCGGCGAGAAGCTGGTGACGGGTGGCGGCGAGGAGGTGGACGTGCACTCGTTGGGCGCCCGCGGCATCTCGCTGCTCGGTCTTTACTTCGGCTGCAGCCTGAGCGCCCCCTGCGCGCAGCTCAGCGCCAGCCTGGCCGCCTTCTACGGCCGCCTGAGGGGGGACGCGGCGGCCGGGCCGGGGACCGGGGCCGGGGCCGGGGCTGGGGCCGGGCCAGGGCCAGGGGCCGGGGCAGCCGCGGAGCCCGAGCCTCGGCGGCGCCTGGAGATCGTCTTCGTGTCCTCGGACCAGGACCAGCGCCAGTGGCAGGACTTCGTGCGGGACATGCCGTGGCTGGCGCTACCCTACAAGGAGAAGCACAGGAAGGTGAGCGGCGCGGGCCTCGTCGGCGGTGCCCAGCCCGCGGGCTCCCGGGAGCCGGGTCCTCGCCGGCCCCTGCTCGCCCACCCACTCCGCTGTCCCCCTGTCCGCCTTCTCCATCTTTGCCCTCTCCTCCCCTCCTGTCTCTCTCCGTGCCCGCACCCCCATCCCAGGACCCCGCCGGGTTGGGGCTCCCGCGGCAACTCCTCCGGGCGGATGCCAGGTGCGCCCGCTCTGGGAAGTTTGACACCCCTTGGCCCCTCGGGCCCCGGCTCGTGTCCTGAATACCTAAGAGCCCTCGGTCCGCACAGGTCGGGAGTCTAGAGTAGGGGTGGCTGCGCTCCGAGGTCCCGACTCCGTGACCCCCGCTCCCCCACACCCCCACCAGAGGTTGTCGGAGAGGCCCCTTCCATGCCTCAGCCACTTGGCTCCCCGCAGATACCTGTAGTGGGAGGGGAGTACAGGGGAGTACGCTAGCCCCCTACCCATAATGCCCAAACCAGGAAGTTTCCTTTCTTTCTGAGAGAAATCTGCTTTCCTGGGGTCCCCTCCTCCTGTGCTCAGGGACCTGGAGGCCCAGTCCTAGGTCTGGCCGCGTCCCTGCCCGCCCCCCCCCCCCAGAGGCAGTCGCTGACCGTGGCTTTGGGCTAAAAGGTAGCTCACTCCTCTCTCTTTCTCCCTCTCTTCGCCTCCCCCAACCCCTGGGCTTAATTAGTGGCCACCGGGGGACTTTTCATTGTCTGGCCGTCCACCTTTCCTCCTCTGGTGACTCCCAGGCACAGGAGTAGCCCCGTCCTTGCAGGTCTCTTAGTTGCATGGTGGTCCACTATCGTCTTGATATACTTCGAATTAAATGCTGAACTGATCCTCATGGATGCAGGTTGACTGGAAGAATGAGGATTTGGGGGAAATTTATGCTTTGCTGTCAACTTCTTATTCCTCACAGTTTGCTGCTGAAATCAGTTTGGGTTTCTCAGTGTATCTGTTGGGTGAAGGTGTCTGTTATATATAATAAAACAAATCCAGGACATTTCGTAATGAAAGAAATAGAAAAAGTTTGGAGTTCTGTTGCTTAATTAGTTGTCTGATGTAACGCGTGAATCCAGCCCCTTCCCTTTCTGAGGAAAATCTCAGTTTATGGAGTAGACAGGAGAAGGGCTATTCTGGGCGCGTTTAGTTTCCTCTAGGGACGAAGGTAACGCATGCCATGTGTTTTCTTTATGTGTACAGAATCTTGTTGAGAAGCATGATTTAGATTCAGTTGAGAGCAAAAGGCTTGTACTGTGACCCCAAATGTCTTGGGTAAATTATCCATCCCAAAGCACTGTAAGGTACAGACTTGGGATTTAAGGTATGAAATATAGTTTAACAAATAAGGTTTGTAAATTTAACATTGGAAAAATATGGGTTCACTAACCACACAGAGGCACAACTTGGCATTTTAGCCACTTTCTATTTTGCTCATGTTTGATTTACATGCTTGATAGAGTATTAATGTGCATGGCCAGTACTTTTTGATTCAAAATATGGGAATCCTTTGTTTTCCTTGGTGTTGGTTTTCATGATCCTTTTGGGTAGAAATAATGTTCAGAAAGTGATTTGCCAAAAAATATTTTCATTGTTATGGCAATTTTCTATTGTAGACCAAAGTCTGTTTGAAATAATGTCCTTATTGGGCAGTACAAATGATTTTTAGTTTTTGAAAACATATAATGATGGTAAAATGATGCAGACCTAAGGTCTGTTGTGTTTTTTACAAAAGGGGAAATAAATATGCTGGATAGTAAAAATATGGAGCAAATTGAAATGTTTTGTAAGTTCTTAAAGCTTTTTTTGAAAAGGGGGAATATTTGATATGACTTAGGCCTTGCCTGGTTCTCTATAACTCAAGTCTCTTTGCATGAAAAAGTCTTTTTGGCCCTGGCCTGGACCTGCTAATTCCACCACGTCGAAAGTCTGGATGACAGAGGGCAGACTCTCATTTGAAAATGCAGTTCAAAATGCTGGACATGCCCAAACCATGATGTGTTAGCATCTCACAAATTTATTTTTTGCTTAGAGTTTTTCTGACACACATCCTGTAGTTCACTTTGTTCACTAAAACCAGTTAGGTTTTCAAGGGGGTAGTTTCTGTCCCTTGATGTTTGATGTTCCTGAATCTGCAACTTAAGACCTGACCCCAGAAACATTCTTATCTGCGATGATATATACCAGGTAAAAAGACTCCAGCTGTGTTTCTTATGGAAAACATACTCTGGGAAATTACAAAAGCTATGTACTCACTTTAAAAGGAATTATTCCCACCCCCCCTTGAAACCAAAGAGATGTACAAGAAATTCCATTTCTGTAACCGAGTTTTTGTCACCCTTGTTTGAAATCAGAGTGCTTAGAAAGAAGTCTATGAGCTTGAGATACTAATTTTACCATAATAACAGTGAAAAGCCCAAGGCACCCCTAATTCTGGGCGCTGGATGGGTGAACACTTAACTTGTTGATGTACTCTGTCCATGTTGTTTTACCAACTATAAAAGTGGTTTTAAAGAAGGGAATTTTGCTTTATACCGAAGGGAAACCAAAGTTCCAGAATGCTAATTTTTTTTTTTAAGTTCTCATTAACATTTGTTCTTTAAAACCATTGGTATACTTCTTCCCCTTGGGATAACAAAGGGAATGGTTTTAATTAGTTATTGGCTGGCATTTCTCTAAAGAAAATTGAAAAATTATGGTGGGGAAAGAAAATGCTGTGTGGTATTTTTTTTCATCTTTTATTAATTTCTCCTTTATATAGTAAGAAAGTCTGGGATGACCATATATGTTAAGGCTGCATTTTGCCTGGCTCCTCTCACCTTGATTGGAGCTGTGAGAAAATGCTAAATAAAAAGATTCCAGGATCTTTTTTTAATTCTTTTTTTAAAAAAGAAGATTGTCCTGTTTCTGCTTGTTTTAGCAGTAGGTACAAAAGTAATTGCAGCTTCATTTTTTTGGCTTCCAAACCACACATTATTATATAGCTGTATAGAAATTGTAATTAGTTGATAATAGGACTTTGAGTGCATTTATAAGAGCAGTTTTGTCAGGAAACCTATAATCCTGAAATTAAGGCAGTTAGACTTGCTTTAATAAGTAGGTTTGTAGACGTCTTTCAGATTTCTGAAGAGAGAAAATGTGATGGGTAGTTGGAAAGTAGTGAAGATTTGGACTTTCGGGATTTGGTCTATCCCTTTAGATTGAGTGTAAATTACTCAGTTGTCAAAACTGGAGAGTCCATCTCCAGGATCCACTTGGTGTCATACAAGTGAGCACTGGTTTTGGTTTTAAAGCCACAGGACTCAACTTTGCCTGGGCTGGATGCCTGATGGAGGATATTTGGTCAGTGTGGGTGTGCTGATATCAAAGGGTGCAGACCATTGCCCCTCCCCCCCCACTGGTCCCAGAACTTCCTGCATGACAAAAAGGAAGAGAAAGTCTGCAGAGTCAGGAGACTTTGGTCCAGCATCCCCTGGTCCTCCTGCTCCAGCCAGGGGAAGTGTATTCATCATCCTCCAGCCACCCTGTGTGGGTTGCTTGCGTTGGCTGCTCTAAGTGGTTCTTTTGGTTCTGACTAAATCAGAGGCTTGGCCTGGAATTCACCTGAATCCCTTTGGCTCTTTGGGTGGGGCAGGATTTGGTAACAACCCAAATAGTCTTAGAGCTCGAAGTCTCCCACTCTTCCTCAAATCCAAACACCAGCCAGTAAGAGAACAATTCCTACAACACTGAGAGATCACTTTCTCTTTTCTTATTCACTTATGAGGTGGTAAAAGATGGCAAAAAGGGAGAGCTTTGAAAATTAGGATTTTCTGCGTTCCTCATAAGGAGCCTGGACAGGCTCCCACTGTGTTTCCTTGAGCCAGTCTAATAAAAGACAACAGTCCAGTTATAGTAATAAGGGCAATGTTCCTTGAGAGGCTTTTTCCTTGTTCCATTATTCGTACTGTGTTTTTTAATCTCATTTTTCTTTTCTGCATAATGAAGCAGTCTAGTGTGATGGCTAAAAATATAGATTCTTTTGTCCTTCTGCCTGAGTTCAGATCCTCGTGCGGCCAGTTATTGCTGTGTGTCCTTGTGCAAGGTACTGTACATCTCTGTGCTGTAGCTTTCTCATTTGAAAAATAGAGATGATAACAGCACCTGCCTTATAAGATTGTTGTAAAGACTACAGAAGATAATATACATGTGTCTGGCATATAGTAAGCTCAATAAATGCTAACTATCATTATTTGTTAATAAATTATCATAAAATACCATTTCATAGCTTGAGCCTTCGGAGTGTATCATATTACAGAATTGCAAAATTTTTATGAGGTACATTTTTTAACTTTTCAAAACAATGACTTACAAGTATACAAGGGTATATGGTAAAGAAGTCCAAAGAATTGCCCTACAAGAGATTATAAATACAAAAAAAGACCTAGAACAATGAAACAATAAAAGCAGATGAATGTACGGTAATACTTAAAGTTGTGGGATTTTTTTTTTCTTTTGAGATGGAGTCTCGCTCTGTCACCTGAGTGAGTGTGCCTTGGTGTCAGCCTAGCTGAGAGCAACCTCAAAGTCCTGGGCTCAAGCAATCCTCCTGCCTCAGTCTCCCGAGTAGCTGGGATTATAGGGATTACAAGTACGCACCACCATGCCCGGCTGATTTTTCTATTTTTAGTAGAGATGGGGGTCTCACTCTTGCTCAGGCTGGTCTCGAACTCCTGACCTCAAGCAATCCTCCTGCCTCAGCCTCCCAAGAGTGCTAGGATTATAGGCGTGAGCCACTGTGCCTGGCCAAGGTTCTGGGATATTACTGATGTTTACTGAGTTCTGTATTTATATTTGCCAGCGCAACTCCAGATCGCTGATTAATGAAGCCAAAGCAAGATAAAGGGTAACAATTTAAAGATGTTCAGGCACCCTTCTTGGGAGAAATTACGTACCAGGTGATCATTTTGTGGTTTCCCAAAGCTATTTAATATTAGGCA